AGTTAGAACAATTAATCAGTGGAACAACCTGCCTCCAGAAGTTGTGAATGCTCCAACACTAGAAGTTTTTAAGAAGAGACTAGACAGCCATTTGTCTGAAATGGTATAGAGTTTCCCTCAGTTAATTTTAAATGCTGTCTTCATCCTGCCATTTAAATCCTCAAGTAAAAGTGATTGCTTAAACCACTGGCAGGGAGAAAGAACAGACAAAAAGGTGGAAAGAAAAAGTGAAGAAAAAAGGATAGCACCTCCCACTTTGGACCCAGCCAAAACCCATCACTGGCTTTGGCCCCACCTACTACCAGCAAGAAGCCTTTCCTAGATTATTTGCATCCTCAACAAAAAAAGGGAGTTCTTATTCTTGATATGGGATAAATGTTTTTAATTTAAGGCTTTGTCCAACATAGTTGTTTTTCCTCTGATGTGTTTCCAAAAATGCAAAATGAGCCACTGATTCTGAAGGGGGTCTCTGGGGGAGATGTTTTTTTGCACCTCTGTTATAAAAGCATGCAGCAAGTTAGGGGACATTTATGAAAGATGGCTGCCCTTTCTCCCCTTCCAGGTTCATTACATAAGTATCAAAGCTGTAACTATTTGTCAGCATTTTGGATGAACTCAGCAATGTTTACTTTAGTTGAAATACTCATGTTTGCAACATAATTTAGCAACAGAGAAAGTGATGGTCATGTGCTGAGCTTTTTCATAGGGGAGTGATGTTTGTACATGAATTCAGAGCAACTCCAAGATCAAATGTGTTTGTTTGAAGCAGTTAAAAATTAACCATCTGTTCCTCTGCTGTGAGAAATGCAAAAATATATGTACGTTCAAACATAATGCAGAACTTTCCACAAGGGGAAACAAAGGAATGGTTAGGATGTTTGTTTTAAAAAATTAAAATTTTAAAAAGAAAGGTATTACATATCTGCTGAATTTACATACTCTTAATATCACAGCAATTTTTTACAGTTCAATTTAGTTAATATATCTGCATTTGAAAAAAACAAATCTGATCCTTTTTTCTACATAGGCTCAAACATTATGAAATCAGCACAGACAATTTGATAAGAAAATAATTTAATATTTATGTTTTTTCTAGAACTTGATATTTATTGAATTCACAGGGGTAGGGGCTGAGAAGCATAGTGGAAGAAAATATTATATCAATACACAAAAGTAAATATATTTGTTTATCTTGCTGATCATCCACACTTTACCAGTAAGGATTGATATTACAAGTAAATTAGGTACACCCCAAAGTCACCATTTGATTCCCTGATAAGAGAATAAAAATTTGCAAAAATATATGAAAGTGAGAAATGCTTAGATCTTGATACCAGCTGCCAAACTCTTTTCATGGCTTTAAGGGGACCTAAATATACAACATAAACTGATAAAACATATAAACAGTGTAATAGAAATTATTGGAAGTGATCATAAAATTCTATCTCCTTCCACACCATGACAGATGAATGGGATTTTGGGATTGTGCTTGAAGCTCCTTCATTTTTTTTCTTTATGGGGAGAGTGAATAAGTGGGAAAATCTAGCATGGAATCTAGGCTTAAAATTTCAAATCAACTATCTTGCAGGATCCTTGGTGCTCTGTGAGCTTGGTTGTTTTCTTGCAGACATTTCATTATCAAGCCGGGTAACATCATCAGTGGTAGTGGGGAGTATGGTTTGCTCTCATTTTATATACTAGTGTCAATGTTGATGGGAGTGGTCTTGGTGGTTCCTTGATTGGTCTGTTGTTTACTGTTAGCTAGTTTGTCTGAGTGTTTTGAATGTCTGAGTGTTACTGTTAGCTAGTTTGTCTGAGTGTTTTGAATGTCTGAGTGTTACTGTTAGCTTGTTTGTCTACTCAAATAAGCTAACAATAAACAGATCAATCAAGGCATCACTAAGATCACTCCCATCAACACTGCTAGGTTAAGCCACTAATATATAAAATGAGAGCAAACCGTACTCCCTACTATCACTGATGTTGTTACGTAGTTTGGTAATGAAACATCTTCAAAATAACAATCAAGCTCAGAGAGTGCTAAGGACCCAGCAGTTCAGTCCTGAGCTATAAATATTCTCTTCTTTCGAGACAACTATCCTTTAGTTGCTGGTCAAAATGAGAGATACTCATATGCCAATCCTAACTTTGTTGTCACATAAAAGCAAAAATAAAATAAAATGAAGATAGGAAGCTGACTCTTATCAGCTTAGATTCTTTATCCACAGTGCTCTGTAATGCAGATAGTGGGACTGGTTGATGCTTTCAGGAGTTTTTTTTCCATCTGGCTCCTTTAAAAAATGAAAGGGTCTGTCTATCCATTTATATTTCCCACAATTTCTTTGAATATCATAAATTTGATAAACCTTTCCCATCTGATCCACCACATCAGAACACAACTAAAGAAACCACAGATGCAGCTGGTAGGAATTGTGTTGTTCCTGCAGCCTGTCTTCAGATTATATGACTAGGTAAGTATAGATTTCAAGATGCAGGCGTCCTTGTTTCCTAGTATGTCTTTAATAATAATCAAGCATGTATCTGTTATGCTGTATAGAATTAGAGGGATTAATCGCTTGTCATCTTCCAGGACCCCTTGATCATTGGCTTCTGCCAATTATTAAAAAAATGGTGGATACAGCAACCTTTCTCTAGCTCAAAAGGGCAATGGAAGAAGAGTAGAGATGAAGATACAGTTTCACATTTCCATCTAGTGTTCTCTGTTCAGTTCATTAATTTCATGAAATACCACAACTTCTTGAAAGAAAGAATCTTGCTATTTCACTATAAATCCCAAATCTTAATTCCAGTGATGGAATTATTGGAATTATAGTAAATTGGAATTATAATGAAACATAATATTCCTGTTTAGAGCCCACTGTAGCATTCTTGCTTAGAGCAGACAGTGAGTTTTAGGGTCTGGTCTTGATCATAATAAATCTTACATGGAGTAATTTAAACTTCACCCTTCCCTAGCTCTGGAGCCCTCTAATGATTTGTGAGCACCTAATTAAATAGCAAATACAAAGCATTGTCTGTGACCAGTGCAGATCTTTAGAGAGCTAAAACAACTTGACCTCAGGGCTCAGCTTGGTTAATAGAGGTCTTTGCATGGAGGCCATCCCTGTTAGGACGATCTCTTTCCTGTGCCAGGGGATTTGAATGCACTTCTGACCTTTTCAACTTGTTGTGTTGGTATCTGGCCAAACAATTTAGCCCATCTTTGGTGCTCATTACTTAAAACTTCAGAAAAGACAGATCCAATAGTGTACATTGTTTCTGAGCAGATGGTCCTTTTGAATTTCTCTCTCTGCTAGTAACACCCTGCTCTTGAATATATTAAATATTCAGCTCTGGAAAAAAATAACCACCTCCCTATATTGGTGTTGTTATGTATTTGTGATATTTAAAACCACACATCACTAATAGCTCAATTCATTTTTGTAGCTGTCTTTCAAATAGACATTTTTCATGATCACAACTATATAAAAAAAGAAAATGTAACTTTGGCATGTAGTGAGTATATAGTCCTTGGGTCTACCTTCTTTGAGAACTATCAGACCTGCCCCACCTGATCTTTAATATTGTTAGGTTCTTTTAATTAAAAATAAATCAATGAGAAACTGCAATGACACATCCCTGCCATTAAGTCATCATATACGTGACAAGACTGTTTCTCAAATCAGCTATTGAAATGGAGGTACTTGCCATCTTTCATACTGCACAAGAGGGTTGGAACTATTCCTGGTTTACTGGGATAGTAACTATGTCACGTATCTGTGTCACGTTTGAGCCTTCTACTGTATTACTTGGAACGATCTGAGTGTAAGCATTTGGTGAGTCTTCATACAGTATTCATTTTGGGAGGTCGTTATCTGGCCTTCTGATGCCCCCAATGGATAACAGTAAGGGTTGTAACTGTAAGTAAACTTTCCTCAAAAATACTTCATAGGAGAACATAAAAGGATCCACCTGATGCAACATCCTATTTCCCAGTGGCCAATGTGATGCTCACAACAAGCACCTGACAGAAGGTGGAGACAGTAGTTACCTTGTATTGATGTTCCCTAGCAATTGCTATTGAGAATCAAGATTTCTGTGAGCTGAATGGTACCAAATAGCCATTGAGATTAATGACCACTGGTCTAATACCATGTTTCCCTGAAAATAAGACTGGATCTTACTTTTTTTTTTCCTCCAAAAGAGGCACCAGGTCTTATTTTTGGGGAATGTCTTATCTTCAGCACCGAGAGCCCCACCCAACAGGTCCACTTCTTCTGGGGCCAAAGGAACAGCTTTATTCTGCAGATGCATTCCGGCTTGCATTTTGCAGTCAGACCTTTCCAGAAGGCCTAGGCAGCTGAGTACCGAGCTGTGGATTCAATCCATAGCTTGGTCCTCGGCTGCAGAGGCCTTGCAGAACCGAGCTATGGATTGAAAGGCCTCTGACTACAAAATGCAGGCCTGGCTGCAGAAGACGCTGCAGAAGAAGTGGGGCAGCAAGGAGAGGCCTGGTTGCCAGGTAAATGGGTGTGGGGTGCGTGGGGCAGATCTACCCACCCCACCCCTCCCCTAGCTTGATTTTTAAGTGTGTACCTCGCCCCAAAACTAGGGCTTATTTTGGGGTAGGGCTTATATTAAGCCCACCCCCAAAATCAAGCTAGGGCTTATTTTCAGGGTAGGCCTTACTTTTGGGGGAAAGGGTAGTTGGCAATGAAGAAAGGTAGGACATTCATTATATTCAGGTCTTACAGAAATATCAACTTAATCTTTATTATAATAGCATATACATGCCTATAATCTTGTATAACACAATTACCAATTTCTTTTCTGTGGGGCTCAGAAATACACATTTTTATTTTAAAAAATAGCTAGAATATCTTATAAAGAAACAAAGATTCTTACACACTATACCCTCACAGACCACAGAAAATACATTGTCAGATACTTTCTAGGCCACCTGCAAAAAAAAATATATTATTTATTTCATTGTCTTCTAGGAAAAGGGGATAAACTTGACTCACATAGAATCCAGACCTTCCCGGCTGAATAAAGATGAATATGAATTTTTCATTAATTTGGAGAGCAAGAATATGTCTGCCCTTCCAGATATCATCAAGACCTTGAGAGATGACATCAGAGCAAATGTTCATGAACTTTCACGTGAAAAGAGGAAAGATGCAGGTAAGAAAAAAAGGTTTCAACCTAACAAATTTTTGTAAAAATTTTAGTTTTTTAGATACATGCTGTTTTTTACCAAGGGATGTTCAAGAATTTCAGTTGGCTTGCATTTGTAAGGTTTGTCAGCCTGATCCACATTTTTCAAACAAAGAAATTATGAAGGACACATTTTTGCTTTTAATCTTTTGTGATATTCCTTTGTGATATCCTGAAATGTGCATACTGCATATAAATATAAGTTAAAAGGCATATTAGGCTGAGTTATTTAGAAAAATGTTTTAGTTATTAAAATATTACATTCTGTCCTGCCTTCTGATACAGAAACCAAATAAAACAGATTCATGAATGACTACAAGCAAGACTGACATAGCCTCAAACTAGGTCAATTGTCCTGAGTGTTATCTCCAATTATACTTATTTTTTTAATTGGCCTGGGCATAGTTATTTTATCTGGACAACTTATTTCATGTCACATTCATAAGAAGATAACATAAAAATTCAAAGATTTTTATAACTTCTTAATTCTAATAGGCATAAATCAAAGAATTAGAACAAGACTACATTCATGCACATACTTATTTATCTATGACTTTCCTGCATTCACTATATAGAATCTAGAAGAAAATATAGTCAGGGGAACTTACATGTTTAGTAAACATTTGTTTCATGTACATTCATCCAAATCTTCTGATCATGGTTTCTTCAGATGGCAGGTGTGATCCTAATAGGATTTCAGAAAAGGTTAGTTTAAAATGCTTTAGGTCTGCTGTGTCTTTTTCCTTCCTGGGAGCAACATGAAAGGGGAATAATATCTTCTTGAAATGAATCCTGATAATCTTCTTATCCTCTCTTTTGTGTCCTACCCATGACATTGTAAAGGGAAAAAAGGAAAGGAACATGACAGGCAAAATGTTATGGCTTGTCAGGGAGCCACAATAACTTAAAATTGAAAGTTTAATTACTTTTGGAGGCCAAAGGAATATCTTGATTCTTCCCTCTTTATCATAATTCTGCCATAAAGAATAAGGAAGGAAAGAAATAAGGGGGAAGGTTCTACTTGGAGGCAATTATGCAATTCATCTTAGTAAGATCCATTGAAACAAGTTAGTTGTATTTTCAAATAAATCTGGTTAAGATGGATCATTGTGGGCTGATAGATATAATGTTGTTTTTTTTACCGGGATATGCTACCCATATCCCATGGGATATATGATCCACTTTTCTGCAGCCCTTGAGCTCACGGTGGCACAATCTACCCAACTATTGAGCTTTATTTATTTGTTGATTTTATAGGTTATCCTGATCTATTGGGTGGGTTGTGTAGATACATGGTTGCACTTTTTGAACACCCCTCCCACACACACATATAGAAAAATAGATGCATAAGCCTCCGATTTATGGAACTGTCCTATGAAGTCTGAAAATGCAAAAAAGAGGCAAAAAGTATTCCAACCCCACCTGCTCCATCCTTAGGTCACTTGTAGTCCTTGGAGGTTAGGATTAGTATTTAAGAAATACTAACAAATGTGTGTGTATACATAGACAGATCATCACCAGACTACACAGAAGTCTAAAGCCCTGATTTAGTACATAGTAATGTTACAATCAAAGCTGAGCTTTATACAAATAATATATTTTAAAAGGTGCAGTGGTGTTGACAGTCCAGAAGGACTTTTCTGTTTCTAAGCCTTGTGTACCACTAACAAAAAACTTCAAATCCACAGAATAAGACGATTCAAATGATTTTCTTGTAGCCAACTTGATCAATATGTTTCCAGATCTAAATATCTGTTGTATATACAGGTATCTATAAACACACTCTACTAGATTTGTACATATCTCTCCCCCCCCTTGGTCTACATTCATAAATGTATAATCAGAGACTAAATTAAAAGAAAAAGCACATATTTGTGGAACTGGTATGATTGATAAAGAGAAGGAACAAAAGAGATTTTAAAAAATAAATAAAAGCATGCAATAAGCACATACACATACCAGTAAATAGGAGTGGATACTATCCAGGTCTGAACTACTTTAGCCCAATTGGCTTCTGATGGCAACACAACAACTGCACAATAGCTGGGCAGATGGTGAGATACGTACAGTCTTGATGACAAATTGATAGTGATGGATAGGGTATCCTGCCCATCACTAAGAGCAGGATCATTAATCTTAGGAATATCACAGAGCAGTTAACATTTGTTTGTGATACATTTTCCTCAATCACACAGCAGGGAAGGCTTTCCCACCCACCCTGCTTTTAAGAGAACCATTTGTTTATACACCAGAAGACTCTAGTATAAGTCTCTAGAGAGTTTATATCGCCGTTATGATCAGAATTCTTATACCCACATTTAACATTTGAGTCAAGGCTTAAATGTTACACAGAGTGTTACACAAACTCACTCTGGCTGAGTTTGTGTAACACTCTGCAGTGAGATTGAGCTAGACCTGAGTGGATAGTACTTCCATGTGCTGTAAGAATTTAGCCATTAACAGCAGAAAGGAGACTTTATCTTACTGTAATACAAAACAAAGCCCTAATCTCAAATATGAATTGCCCCATCTAATAGTTTTTTTGATGTAAAACAAGCTTCTGGGCTCTGCAAAACCCCAGAGGCAGTTTTAGAAAACTAAAATGATAAAGAGACTGAAAAAAGACAGAAGAAAGCTGTGCATCAGACAGACCCTTCTACATTAAAGGGGATATTTATTTATTTACATTTATTACAGTTACCCTCTGATGAAAAGGACTTTTGTGGTTTGCCAGGTTAACCACATTTTATTGCAACAGCGCCCATAATAACTTCTCAAAATCCTAAATTTGGCAACTGGCCCCAAAAGCTTCAGAATATCTATAGTGAATTATGGTTTTGATCACAGGGTTCTGGGGTAATTGTATAGTTGATAATCAAATTGCACTAAAGGTTCAAATGAATTGTTATGAAGACACAATGTAGTGCTTTCAATATGCTTAGATTCCTTGGAGTCCTGAGCGAAATAATTAAATATGATTCAGTTTCAGTGAGAAAGTAGAAATAATTTATTGCAGTTTGGAGACAAGTTGGAAGCTGAGGGTCTGTAGAAGCCTTGTTAGCTTGGGGGCCTGGGGCTTACCAGAACAGTTGGTCATGTTTAAAGAAGGCTCCAACCTGAGCTGAAAATGGTAATAAATATTGAAGTCCTGTCATTGACCCCCTCCCCAAAATGGGCAAAGTTCTGGAGAATCTCTGAATCTCTTTGGTTTCCTTGCTCTCATATAAATAGCTGATTAGCATCCCATTAAGCATCTGACCTCTAGCAAATTGGTCACCACTTGGGTGTCCCCAGCAGGACCATAAAATGCTGCTATTCCTCCTGCATACAAATCAATATTTATTACTAAACAACTTGCGTGAGCCCTACAGAAGTCCATGGAGTGTCAGTGTTGTAACTGCTTGTGCTGGCCATTCATTAACAGCCTCAGAAAAAGAAATATCTCAGCATGTTCTAAAACGTTCTATTTTTAAAGCAGTCCTTCACATGTTTATATGGGATGAAATAATATAAATTAATTTGGGGTTAGCTCTGAATAGATATATATATGTGCATTAAAATTGCCCTGCGGGTGTTATATTTTATCTCTTTCATAATTTTGACTCAAAATTATGGCAAGTAGGTGGACAGTCCCTGCAAGGTTTTTTGGTATAACATTTCAGAAGCGGCTTGGCACTGTCTTCTTCTAAGGAATGACCAGCCCATAGTCATCGATGGTTTCATGTCTAGGGCAGGACTAGAACTCCCTCTCCCCTGGTTTCTAATCTGTTGCATTAAGCACTACATCAAACTGGCTCCCATCTTCCATGTATATTGCACTTTAAACCCAATCATTCCAAACCAGCAAATTTTCTTATTATTGTACAATGACAATGAAGGAGCTATAATTTAACATATCTGGGAAGAATCAGGATGAGGAAAGCTGATGGACAGACCTACACAAATGCACATATACACATCCTCATTTTCTATAATACATTTCAAGGTAGAATCAGAATAATAAAACTAAGTATGAAAATAAACAAAAGCTACAATGGAGGTGAGGACACTATTCCAGTGAAAGATTAAAAATGTATTCAAATAACCAATGCTTTTTTTCTAAAAAAAAAAAAAAAATGCCGGAACTCACACACGTCATACAACCCGCCTTGCCTACCCTACAAGGTTCCATCAAAAAAAGGTGCCAGAACTCCGTTCTGGGCGTTCTATGAGAAAAAAAAGCTCTGCAAATAACATTATTAAAATGCTAAACATTTAAGAGGGGAGAGTTGTATGTCCTAGGTTCCATCTTAGGCCCAGTACTCTTCAACATCTTCATAAATGACTTAGATGAGGGAATATAAGGGGAACTCATCAAATTTGCAGATGACACTAAACTGGCAGGAGTAGCCAACACCCCAGAAGACCAACTAAGGATCCAAAAAGATCTTGACAAACTTGAACAATGGACCCTATCCAACAAAATGAGTTTCAATGTAGAGAAAAGCAGTTTTACAGTTAGGCAGGAAAAATCAAAGGTACAAGAACAGATTGGGCATAACCTGGCTTAAAAACAGTAACTGTGAGAGGGATCTTGGAGTCCTAGTGGATGATCACTTGACTATGAGCCAGCAGTGTGCAACAGCAACCAAAAAAGCTAATACAAAAAAGCTAGTATTCCAGTATCTGAGGGGGGCTGCCACAAGAAAGAGGGAAGGACAAGAAACAATGACTGGAAACTGATCAAAGGGAGAACCAATCTGGAATTAAGGAGAAACTTCCTGACAGTGAGGACAATCAACCAGTGGAACAGCTTGCCTCCAGAAATCATGGGCGCTCCATCATTGGAGATTTTAAAGAAGAGACTAGAGTCTAGACAATCACCTGTTTGAGATGGTATAGGTTCTGTTCTGTTCTGTTCTATTCTATTCTATTTTATCTAATGCATAGGAATGTTTGGAAAGGTCTAAATAAGGATATTTGTAAGGTATATACAACCCACTTTTTGCACATCGGTTCTGATTGGACAAGCTCCTGAAGGATTATTAGAGCATCATTACCAGCCTTGATGTCTATAAGCTAGTGCCTTGAAATTAGAGTTATTGGGAAATAAACAACAAAGCACAATACTGTGCTCACTGTTATGGGCTTTCCATAGGCACTTTTTTGTCTATTGTAGGAAACAATGCTGCTGCTTGGAGTCTTTTGGTCTGACTAACCAGACTGCTTTTTATTGAGAGAACCATGCCAGTGATATCTGCAACAGTAGCAAAGTTTTGAATCTTCTTTATTGTCAATAGGGCTCTGAACTTTATTCAGCTTTAAATTTAATATGTTATGCAAAACAAAGAAATTTAAAACTTTCTGAAAATGCCCTTTAACTTCTTTTGGGGGAATCTAGCCTCTTCTTATAACTTGTGCCTCTTCCTAGGATACATAAATTTAAGCAGGTCTTTCCCCCTCAAAGTCCCAAACAAGGTCCTTAGTCAACAAGTTGGTTACTTACATGAATATGATGCTACTATGTCACTATTAATTACAACATGCCAAGCAATATGAGTAGGATTGCACAAATGAAATAAGTAAAAGAGAATTTTTAAGATGAAAGAAAGTTTTTTGATCTGTAGAATTTGAGTCAAGAAATTAGCTCTCAAGATCCTGAACGGCTCAAGTTATGTAACTATGGGTCTTAGAAGCATCCAGTTTCATAAGAGAAACCTCAGTATTTGAGAGTGTTACTGTACATGAGGATCAAAACAGACATGGATCCAACTGGGTGTCTTGCTTCAATTATTTTGTTAAAAATCTTCAGGGCACAATTGTTTCTCCAAAGAGTTTGGATGTCCTTTAACAAGAGATTTTCATGCACAAATATGCTCAAAGCTATAATATTTGCTACTGCTGCCATCTAGTGGCTCAAAAAAGCCACTTATTTAAATAAACACCCAGTAGTGTTTATTTAAATCCTGACTAAGTTTCGTAAGAAAGTCCTGATTTCTGCAAATCAAAAGAAATAAAATAGACCAATGTGAAAAATGAACACAGCTCAGCGACGATAATGGAGATGTTTTATGTTCCTCCCTAAGATCCTGGTTCAGTAATCACACCAAATATTCAAAGCACAACACAAAATGGATATTATATATGAAAAATAGACTGTTGTTCACTTTAATATTCTGTAATGTATATGGAATACAACTAAAGTTTTGGAGAGACGTGAATAGAAAATGAAAATGAAAAACTGGAAAAATTGGAATGGAAAATATGAATACAAGTCAATCAAGAAGTCATTGCCAAGGAGAAAAAAATGGATGCATTTCAATATATTTTAATCTTTTTTAGTGGTCCAATCAGTAAGAGTTCTATGCTTACACCTTTTTTTACACCAATCATTTTATTCAGACATGCCTTATTGGTTTGTTTACAATGGTTGCTTGCTTCTTGCAGAATATAAACTGGAAAAATAGTGGCTTAGAAAATGACCTCCAATATATTCATCTGTATTTTTTCCAGATATTTGGGCAAGCCACTGAGTTCTTAGCCACCAGGGCAAAATTTATTGAACAAGTCTAGCAATTCCACTCTTTAACCCAATGTTATACAGTAAATGATCTATTATTTATATTTCAGTGTAAAGGTCAAGTGAATATTGAATAAAGTAATAGGAATCTAACTTAATATTCCTTACCCTGTTATGAAGTGTCAGTTAACTAATCACAACTGGTGTTTCTTTTCTGCTTTTTAGTGCCATGGTTCCCAAGATCTATTCAAGAACTGGACAGATTTGCCAATCAGATCCTCAGCTATGGAGCAGAACTGGATGCTGACCATCCTGTAAGAAAGGATAATATCTGTTAAAGACAAAAAAAATCTTCACCCAGTCATTTAAAAAAATAATCTGTTTCTAATCTCATATGCAATTTTACATTTTAAAATGTAAATATCACTCAGATTGTACCATTCCAGAATTGAGAATTTTGGCAATTGAGCCCAAAACAACATTTTGAGGGCACCAGGATGGTTGCCATAGACAAACAAAAGTCTGTATTATGACCTTCATTTGTGGTTATTGGTATAAAGCTCCATCTTTGTGAAGTTAGGGGCATATTTAAAAGAAACAGTCAGAATCATACAAGTAGGGAATTTCTTATAATCCAAATGGCGCAGATGAAAATGTGCATAGATAATTTAAACAAAAAATCTATCCATTTCCAAGAATGTATGATTTCTTACAATTTGATAGATCTGTCATCAATCCCTAACACAGTGAGATACAATAACTTTAACTTTCCGAATTACTTATTATGCAGTGTCACAATTTAAAAAAAATCTCGGTAAAAAATATCCACATTGGAGGAGGAAAGTTCTATTGTAGCTCAACCGTGCCATCTAGTGTTTGTGAGATTGCGAAACATCACAAAAACTTTGGATTTTTTTTTTAACATGTGAATTCAGAGTTATTAAGAGAGGTGGATCTAGTTTTTGTGTATCTGATTAGTTAGATACCAGAATTTATGCTATCACTTCATTGGGTGAAAACAATGAGGGGCATTTTTTAATTGACTTGAGGCTCCTATAATTAAGTGATGTTAATTAAGTTCTGAATGCGGGAAATATTTTAATGGGAGATCAAATAAGCTCCCTTTACAGCAAAGTATCTTGCATATTGTTTGGAAATACCCAGTAGACAACAAGCAACACATACAGTTGTTATATCTCCCTGAAAGATGTGATGTCTTCTTTATTCTGCCTTTTTTTCTTCTCCATTTTAACTCTTCCTCTAAATAATTCCTTTTTTAAAATTCTAAACATTTGGTTCCAGTGTTTTTTTAGAGTTTTGATAAATTATGTATTTTGGCATTCTAGTAAAAATCCAAAATAAAGAGAGAGAGGTGGGGGAGGGGACAGACAGAGGGAGAGATATGGGGGGGATTTAAAGCAACAATCAGCTTGTGGTGATAGTAACATTTTTTGGGTGCTAGGAGGGGACCTTTCTCTACTAGTCACTAGTAGAGAAAGACAGAGAGAGGGGGAGAGGTTCACAATACAATACACTGTTATGTAGCAAATACAATTTTGGATGAATGACCACATAATTGCTTACCCCTGATCAGGAAAACAACATTCTGTATCCTTCTGATGTCAGAAGATGTAGCCTAGCCAGTAATTATCACTATTAATTTAACTGAAGCTGGGTACTTGTAAATAAATTATACAGAGTGCAGCAAAAAATACTGCTATTACACTAATTGAGGCAGAGTGATTTGCCTTTCACTAGCTCACTAGTTTAATCTAAAATGAATAATGCACCCCATATAATTATTTGGCACACACAATATTTGGTCGAGTCCTAGAACAAAATAAGGTGAATGGGGGTCATTGTACTGAAGAACAAGTGAATAATATTATAGATACAGAAGCACAGTAACCAAAAGCAAGATGAAATTATTAACAAAAGATAATGCATCCAAATGAAAGACTCATCTCAATTCCAACTGCTAGAAACAGTTAATCAGTGGCCCTTTTCTTGTAGGGTTTGCTGTTGTTTTTGTTTAGAATGGGGAAACAAATGTATACCTAGATATTGCCTATAATAAGTCAAACTGGAAATATTATCTGAAATTTCCTCAGTATATAAATTAATTTTGCTTTAGCCTACTTAGATCTTAGCTTCATCCTAGGGAATTAATCTGCCCTATGTAGGATAAGTGAAGCTATCAGATCCTAGTATACAATTATTATCATGATGCCATCACCCAAGTGTTTAACAGTACAGAGGTATCATAGAATCATAGGGCTGGAAGAGACCTTGGAGGTCTTCTAACCCATCCCCTGTCCATCCCAGACAAATCTTTTCTTAAAAAACTCCAGCAATGGAGAACCCACAAGTCTGGGAAGTAAGCTGTTCCATTTGTTAATACTTCTCACTGTCAGAAAATTCTTCCTTAGTTCCAGGTTGGGTGTCTCTTTAATGAGCTTCCATCCATTGCTTCTTGACATACGCTCAGGTGCTTTGGACAATAAGTCAATCCCCTCATCTCTATGATAGCCCCTCAAGTACTGGAAGACAGCCATCATCTTTATCCCTAAGACTTCTCTTTCTTAGACTAGACATTATCTAGTTCCTTTAACTGTTCATCTTACGGTTCAGACTCCAGACCTCTTATCATCTTTGTTGCTCTTCTCTGCATTCTTTCTGGTGTTTCAGCATCTTTTTTGTATCATAGAACTGGATGAAATATTCCAGGTATTGGCCTCTTCATTATGTATTTAATTCAATTTATAGGGCCACTGAAATTGCAGATGCCTCATCTAGGTTGCTAACATAGGATTCAAACCAATACAAATCAGTGAATCAGTGCTCTTCAGGAAGGCTATTCCAATGGGGGACAGAATGGAGCTGTACTGGTGTTTTTAAAACAATGTAAACTAACTATGTTCTCCCAGGGCTGTACTATTGCATATTTCTGTTAAACTTGCCTAGGTCATGTCTTTGAACCGTTTGGTGAAACTTGATCATTCACTCCTCCACTCCCTTCTAAAGCATGATTTACCTTAAATCAACTTGCAATACATCCATTTTCCTTAAATTGTACCTACATTTTTAAACGCTCACAAATCAATCTTTTTTATTATCTGTTTCTAGGGTTTCAAAGATCCAGTTTACCGGGCCAGAAGAAAGGAATTTGCAGACATAGCATACAACTACAGGCAGTAAGTATGCAGATTAGAAAGAAGAAACTACCTCCTAAAATAACTTCTTTGGCACAAAATAGGTGCTCCTTTTGATCAGTGATTTTCAAACAGTGGTCTACAGACCACATTAGACCACAGAGTCCAGATGATGGCCCACAACAGCATCGGCACATTCACCATCGATCTTCTGTCCAGGACCATTCACTGCCTTAGTAATGGCCTCTGCATCTTCGACCACCAGTCAGCTGAATGTTTATTTAGTAATCAGTAAAGAAGTTTGAGTCTGCAGAAGATACTGCAGAAATGGGCATCTTGAATTATGGTATCCAGAAGTGATAAGGAGCATATTAGACACATTATAAATCAAGGTTTATTCTTTGCAACAGTACTGCTTCATTGAAGATGTTGAGGAACTGACCACATAGCTGAGAAGGATGTGGAAATGGCATTGGTCATTTGGTCAGTGAGAGGGATGATGCAAATTATGGCCCTGAAGGAGGAAGAAGAAAAGTGAAATGAATTTATTCTGGGTAGAGCAGGTTGGATTGGATGCAGCATGAAATAATAGAATAATAATGAACTCCAGACTACTAGCAGGCAAGCTATAGATGTTCAAAGAATAATAGATCAGTGTCTTCCAGAGCTGGAGTGTCCAGTGCTTTTTTTGTAAAAAAAAAAAAAAAAAAAAAAGGTGCCGGAACTCACACACGTCATACAACCTGCCTTGCCTGCCTTACAAGGTTCCATCCAAAAAAGGTGCCCGAACTCTGTTCTGGGCGTTCTATGACAAAAAAAAAAAGCCATGGGAGTGTCCATAGTGCTTTATTCCTCAATCTTTGGCCAAAGATCTCCAATAAGGATCATCTCACTCTCCGCCGCGCCCTTAAGACATGGCTATTTCAGCTTGCAGGACTGGCCTAGGGGAAATTTTTAGCGGGGGTTTTAAGATAATTTTAAATTACTTAGGCCAATTGTTAATATTTGTCTTTTAATTATGTTTTTAACTGTAGTATTTGGTATTTTGTAGTTGTTTTATCTGGTTGTTAGCCGCCCTGAGTCCGCAAGGAGAAGGGCGGGATATAAATATAATAAACATAAACATAAACATAAACATCACAACATTTCTCATGTTGTTCAGTTGAATTTAAATTCATAAAATCCTAAGAGCATCTGTGCATCTTTTTACCTTTGGATAATTGTGCTTTAGAATGTTAAATTAAGATCCAGTCTATCAAAAAGAATCCTCAAGATGGACAAAAATCTTATTTTCATTGGTAGCATTATCAGTAGCAGAACTGGAAGCCTTTGAACAGAGAGAAAATCTAGGCATTTTGAAATCGAGGGAATGGAAGGAGGAAAAGTTTAAATAAATAGTTTGTAATCAAATTAAATAAAAAAGGCCAACCAGAGCAAATGAGAGTAGAAGGTCTCATGTGAATTCTAGATTCATTCATATGGGGCCCACCTGAATTCACTGAGAGTCCAAATAAAACGGACCATCAGACAAAATTTTTCCCCAGTCAAATTTTCCATAAAATATTTATTTTCTCCTGCTTGCTTTCTTCCTCCTCTGTTCTTAGATCCTCCTCTGACTGTGCTTATCCCCCAATTATAGCCTTCTGGCAATAAATGGCATTCAGACGAGGATCATGCTCCAGCCCCCACAAAGCTTTGTTATCTAATTGTGCTGCAGCATCAGAGGCGACTACAAAGCACCAGGCACCAAATAAAATAGCATCTCATGTGCTTCACATTAAACAGGGGAGAGGAAAGAAGTGTGTATAATTTGCATTATAGCAAGGACTATGAGCAAGATTAAAATAATGCATTGCGTATGTTCTTGATCTAATTGTGACTATCGTCACTGTTCCAGCTGCATGATAAAATGTTCAATGAGCTGGTTAGTCTTCACACTATTTTCTAGACTGCGGGACTGAAGAGATAGCGTAGGAGTAATTTTATGCATGATGAAATTTGATAATTAAATCCTGTTAGCAACTAATAGGAAGTTAGGGTTAGGGTTAGGAAGTACAGACATATGTCTGTCTGTCTGTCTGTCTGTCTGTCTGTCTCTGTCTCTGTCTCTGTCTCTGTCTCTGTCTCTCTCTCTCTCTCTCTCTCTCTCTCTCTCTCTCTCTCTCTCTCTCTCTCTCTCTCTCTCTCTCTCTCTCTCTCTCTCTCTCTCTCTCTCTCTCTCTCTCTCTCTCATCTATCTATTTATCTATCTATCTATCATCTATCGATCTATCTACATGTTTCCAACCTATATGGTCCTGAGTTTTCTTTTGCCAATATATTTGCCAATATATTTTGCCAATAATACACCAAAATTTGCATTCCTGAATTTATTTATAAAAAAGACCAATAATCCCCTTATATTTACTGAACAACAAAGGAAAAGCCAAAGCAAGTGAAACAAAACAAAATTGATCAAACAATATACAATTTTTTAAAAATTAGGTGAGCAAATGTTGAGGTATTGAACTATAGAAGATTCATTTATTTATTGTCTATATCAAGTAGGACTCGTTTTAAATTCATAAGACAACCAATCTTTAATAGCTAATAAATCAAAGGGGTGGGAAATGGGATGGCCAGAGATTGCCTTCCTTCCTTCCTTCCTTCCTTCCTTCCTTCCTTCCTTCCTTCCTTCCTTCCTTCCTTCCTTCCTTCCTTCCTTCCTTCCTTCCTTCCTTCTGAAGGAGGGAGGTCCTCTCCCAGGCCCTCATTTGAAGGAGTTCTTGTTTTGGGCATTAGTGTTTTCTGCTTCAAAACTGACAACGTGATAGAAAGGATTTCAAGGACCAATTCAAAATATATTAAAAAAGGATTTTGAATCCAAATTCAACCTCAACGATAGAACAGGGAAACCTTTTTAACAAAAACAGGCTTGATTTTTATAGCATTCATTGATATAGACAGAAGCTGATACCAGCAACTTCAAGAAATGGGGTTGTGGAGAAGGGGCTGAAACAGATTTGGTAAATATGTAGTTGGAACCCAGCCCTTGTCTTTGCATGTTGTTGGAACCAAACCTCCATGAATAGCTAGGAAATGGTCCCTTCTTTTGAATGGGCAGCAGAGTATGGGAAAACAAATGCTACACTTTGCTAATTCAGATTTGGGGTATAGTAAGTGGATTTTAGAGCCAGTGGTTGACCCTTTGGGCTTGGGTGGCTTTGCTTTGTCAACCTGTCTGAATCTAGCCATTGTGGTTTATAAAGAATAGTTTATGGTGTAATATATGGATAAAACCATGCATTAAAACATCCTTGAGCTGGCATGGATTCATGGCAAAGAGTTGTAGCGATAGGCGTTTTAATGGGTTCAAATGAAGTCACAAAGCCAGTGGGTGAATTTTCTTTTCCACCAAGCCCACTTCCTGAAGTTGCTATGAAGATGAAACAAGCCAAGCTACGCATGTCAGATGAGCTCCTTCAAAAAAGAATAAAATAAACCGGTAATCAGGCAAGGTGTAGCATTTATTGCATGCATGTGTACGTGTATAAAGGAAAACAATAAACATGCAAACAATAGGAGCTGTGAGCATCAAATTATAGTCCTTTCAAGGACAATCTGTGGAGCAGGAGGGGCAATTTAGGATGGTGTTGTGTGGTTCATTTTTAAGACCTTCGGTCATTCATCTTTATGTCCCCCCCCCTCTTTATGTATGCCCACACTTACACCCCCGTCTCTTCATTTCTTCCTTCTCACCTGCCACCCTGAGCCTTGATCTATTGATCTCAGCAGCTTTCAAATTGGTGTCTGACAGAGCCTTAAACCTCTCCTCTTTTCTTAGGCCCACGAAGGTGGCCTAAGGATTAATGAGAAATGTCAAATGCTATAGAAACCAAAGCAGTTTCATCACACACCCCATCTCATTCAAAATCACGTTTAAGGCTCCAGAGATCAAGGAGGACTGGTGCAGAGACACAGAAAATTGCACAGTTATTGGGGGGCTGCCCCTAGGATCAGGCTGAAGTGGAGGGACAAGGAATGGTGGGAGTCTCACTCGTCTTCTGACAAAGAGCTGCCACTTTAGAAATCCCTCCTATTATCCCCACGGTGCCACAAACCCTATTCAATTGCTGGGGGGGGAAAAAAAGCTTTGATTTGGGGCAGGATGAGAGAAAGGCTTAAATAAATCGCCTGTCTATGTTTAAAATTATTTTCTGAACAGCCGATTCTCCTCCCCCCCCCCCAGCCCTGGTTTTAATGTCAAGGCAACAAGTTGAGCAAGTCAAAGGATTCCTTTGGGGTTCAAGACAGAGCCAGGCTGACTGTTGGGGACCTATATTTAGGGAAGAGACAGATCTGCCATTCCTGCTGAGCCGTTACCTGGGCCGACTTTTAGCACCCCAGTTTTAAGGCCAGGAGAGATTGAAGGCATTGTTTAGTTAAGCCGGCTGCTTTGTACACGGGCCTGGTTTTCAGTGTCAGTGACATGTACATCAGATTATTTCACCTTCGGATCATTAAAGCTGCAGAGCGAGAACAGCATGGGAGAAATTAGGCCAAACTGTTACTGCATAGTAAGAAGTAAGGATGTTGGGAATGGTGGTGATGTTTCTTAAGAATTAATCCCCAACAGGTGTTTTTTGTTTCCCCAAATGCAGGTAATTTAACCATAAATAACAGAGTGCCATGGATGAGGGACAAAGTAGCTATCAGATCTCCTGGGATCCTAGCAGTGTTCTTTACTGTCTCTTTTTCTGCTTCTTCTTAAATATTTCAATTGCTTGTGTTATACCAGATTGTCTTTTGCTGAAGCATTTTAGGAATTAGAGCCCAACTGTGTGGAGCACTGCTTGTTTGCTGCAGCTTTTAAAAAGTCTATCAGAAGGAAGACCTCATTACAAAGCAGCTTGCTCTGAGCTTTTTTTTAAAAAAACCTGATGCTATCCTCTTGGTGGGGCAAAAGAGATAAGTGTGTATGTTCACCTCTTTTGCAAAGAGCAAAGAGAAAGTGTTGCAAAGAACACTTTCTGTTTTTTTTTAATAATAAGAGTAGGGTTGAATTTGCTATTGTTGTTTTGTGCACCTATTTACCTGATCTACCCGCTGATTGGGAATTCTGGAAGTTCTCAGAACCGCATCAGACTGGGGAAGATTGCAATAGAAAACCCTCTCATTGGTAAACAATTCAACCTAATGCTGTGCTGAAAAATTCTGTTACATTTTTTTCCCGGTGTTCATTCATTCTGAAGAAAGAGAATTTGTTTTCAAAATTTATTTCAATGGAGGAAAGGTTTTTCCATAGTACTTTGATGGATGGAGCACGATGTTCTTGATTTGCTACATTATAAGATGCCAAAGAATGCCCTGCCTTTTATTATAGAATTGTCTCTTTGGAGAGTTATATCTCAGAGTTGTATCTGTCCTGACTTTCTGCACTTCTCTTCAAACTTGATGGAAGATCCTATCAGCCTGTTTTAGTTTGGAAAGTTTTCCAAACTACCCCAAAGGTGCGTTTTCAAAAGGCAACTGGGCTTTTTTCCCCCCCTGAAGATGTTTCACTTCTCATCCAAGAAGCTTCTTCCATTCTGACTGAATAGTGGAGAATGGAAGGATTTGGGCAGCTACAGAAGCCTGAGAGAAATGGAAAGATGGCTTAGCAGAAAACAGCAATCCTCTGCTGCTTCTCAGTGGAAGAAAGCTACCAAATATCTGATAATAAGCCTAACAAGAAACCTTTTCCTCATGGAATTTTTTTTTCAGAATTTGCAAGATCAGCATAATATCAGTTTGATCCAATATAAGACAACTTCATATGGACATAGCAGACTGAAATAAAACGATCAGGACTCTAATTATTCCACAACAAGTTTAATATGTGAAAAACATGATAAACTCATACCAGTAATCAAACTATCTCAAAGTGGGCTATCTGAATCAGAATATGGTGTTTATTAGTAAGGAGAATTTTAGCATACATTAACCTTTGAGGTGCCTTATTTCTATTTGATCTATAAGCAGTTGTATATTTGGCGGGGTGGTGGTGGTTGAATATTAGCATAAAGTTGCTTAAACCTACAACGGAAGAATCAAAGGATGCATGTATGTAGCAGAAAGTTCATCGTAATGATTACTTTCCCTGCCTAATCTGTAAAGATCTGCCACATCACATCAGACTGAATGAATTGAATTTCTGGTGTTGATGTTGATAAGATGGGAATGTATTTCTTAGAGGTCAATCAGTTTTTTGTGTTGGCTTCCCTTTCAGTGGACAACCTATACCCAGGGTGACTTACACTGAGGAAGAGAAGAAGACATGGGGGATAGTCTTTAGGGAGCTGAAGACTCTCTATCCTACACATGCTTGCTATGAACACAACCATGTTTTTCCACTCCTGGAAAAATACTGCGGCTACCAAGAAGATAACATCCCCCAGCTTGAAGATGTCTCAAACTTTTTGAGAAGTAAGTAAACAGTGGTTGAAAAATCGTGACTTCTGTATCAGAAGCCGACAGGCTGCAATTCTGTCCATATGTTACTAGGAGTAAGTAACTCAGTGATTTTTGAATAAGAATGCTGAATTGAACTTTAGAGCATAGCTAAATCTGATTTCAGCCACATGGTAATCTAGAACTTTTCTGTTCTTTCAAGGCTGTACTGGATTTCGTTTACGGCCCGTGGCTGGTCTTCTTTCATCTCGAGATTTTTTGGGTGGCTTGGCTTTTAGAGTATTTCACTCTACACAGTACATTCGCCATTCATCAAAACCAATGTATACACCCGAACCGTACGTATTTGGTCTTGTAAAGTATACAGTTGTGTTATAGTTGGAAGCCTGGAATATTATGCATGATCAAAGGGGAAGTGAACCAAAACAGTATAGAAATGTGCATATAACTGTATAGTCAATTTGTAGAAAATATGTATGAATATTCTCCAGAGATGATTGGTTTTTATTTAGAGATCATGAGTCTATAAGTTGGCACAACAAAGAACAAGAAAAAAAGGGAAGGGTGCCATGGTAGGAAAGTCTTAATTCTATCTGATTACATATATATATATATATATAGGTTTAGCAGGTAATCTGGTATACTTCAGATATCTTTGGCCAAAATTCTTGCAATCTCTTGCTTTTGGCTGGCTAAGCTTGAAAGAAGTCCAAAACATGTGTAGCAAATGACACTGCTTCTCCTAACAAGGATTCTTCCCTCTCACAAACACATCCCATCAGAAAGCTTTCATACTGATTTATGTTTTCTTTTAGTGATGTTTGCCATGAACTCCTAGGACATGTCCCTCTATTTGCTGACCCTAGTTTTGCTCAGTTTTCTCAAGTAAGTAAAAAAGCTAAATTTTAATGTTGATAGTTGGCCAGCAGGAAGTTCACTCAGGCAGGAGAGAATCCATTATTTCTCCAAGGGATCCAGAAAGATTTGAAAACTTGATTTTGGTCCCAGGCCTGAAGTTGATGCTTATTACTTGTCTAAGACCCTGTTTTGTTTTGCTTTGCTTTGCTCTGCTCTGTTGATTCTGTTGTTTTAGTCTGGGCTCCCTATTTGATTTAATGTTTTTAGTTATTTTTATGTTTTCTTCTAGTTTTTTTTATATCATGCAGAGCCCATCAGACATGGGTAGCCAATAAATTTAAATAACTACATTAAATAAAAATATTGAAATACTAGCAACACCAATACTGGGACAGAAAGTTCAGTTTTGCAATAGTGGTGAATATCTGTAGCTCAGGTGTAGGATGAGCCTCACTTGATGTAACCTCCCCTTCACAAGACCCATCACAAGATTCCCACTGATGACTCAACATCTGTCCCATCACAAGATCCTCACTTGACACACCCACACCTGACCCATCACAAGATCTACTAACCACACAAAGCCCTTATAAGCAGAAGAACACCAACACTGACATCCCCTAAACCAGGGGTAGGCAACCTTGGCTCTTTTATGACTCGTGGACTTCAACTCCCAGAATTCCTGAGCCAGTGCTGGCTCAGGAATTCTGGGAGTTGAAGTCCACGAGTCATAAAAGAGCCAAGGTTGCCTACCCCTGCCCTAAACTCTGCTGAAGATGTTACCTAGCCTGGTAATGAAATGTTCGGAAACCAACCCACAAGCTCGGAGAACGAACCTTCACCCTCAAGTTCAGTTTTATCAGTAAAGCTGCATTCCTATACAGGTAGTCCTCAACTTACAATCACAACTGGGACCATAATTTCTGTTGCTAAGCAAGGTGGTTGTTAAGTGAGTTGCACCCAATTTTGCAACTTGTATGCATGTTGCACAGATGCATTTTTTTTCCTCTACAAGTTACATACATAACAATATCTGTAATTCCCCATGTTGGAAGGAAATGCAATTTACAAATAGAAAAGAGAAATATTTTTCTTGATAATTTATCTCCCTTTTATTTCATTTTTTCAGATTAAAAAAAGTTGCGTGTGTATGTGTGTGTGCAGGGATGTGTGTAGATGACAATAAAAATAAGAAACTGAAAATGTTTTGCTTTTACAGGAGATTGGGTTGGCTTCTCTAGGAGCTCCAGATGATTATATTGAGAAACTTGCAACGGTCAGTGTTCAATTCTGATAATAGCTTCAGTCACATCCTGCAGTTAATATGGAATTAATTGGTTAATTGGCTGGTTGGTTTCAGAATTATCTTGAAACTCTCCCTTGAAAAATAATTCATTTTTACATGATAAGTACATTATATTAATGTAGCTAACCATTAAAAATTCATTAACTATTGTAGTACTTTTATTAGCTTGAAATATTTTCCAAAAGATTATAACCATTAATACATTGGCATTTTATGTACAGGTGAAACAAATAGCATTTTGAAGGTTAGTTATATGCAGAGAGAGTCAGGATTCTACCCAAATAAACAACTAATCATTATTCATTGATAATAGAATCATCAAGAAAGTTATCCATTGATGAACTATTCATAGAACAAAATTTTCCTTTATATGACTGATTCTGTTCCTTTCATTTATTTCATAGCCCTATTTCAGCATCATCTGAAATTCTGTAGGCCACAGTAACAATAATCTCTACATCTTATTTTACATCAGGTTTACTGGTTCACTGTGGAATTTGGCCTCTGTAAAGAAGGCGACGCAATTAAGGCCTACGGTGCTGGACTCTTGTCATCATATGGTGAACTGCAAGTATGAATTCATGATTTCTGCAAATGAAGTTGCTGAACCTTTCTGCAAAGTAAAAATTTCGCATAGTGATGTTTATATAGCTTTGCTTCAAATGCAATCTAGCTTAAATGTGGTAGCTTTTTTTCTGGTTTCTTATTGTCTTCTTGTTCCTTGAAATCCTTATTCTCCAAATTTTCAAATTTAACGCTATTCTACTTCCTGGGAAAAAAAGTCACTGTGACATCACTGTGCAAGCCACATCTTTACTTTCCATCTTGGGGCAAAGGAATGTTCCAAAACAGGCTATCCATCACCATGGAAGCCCACTTCATCTTCATCCTGAGCATTAAGGATGGAGGCATCTCCCGAATGCCTTCTAGAGAAAGAAAGATATCATGCTGCACAAGCCTTCTCCAATTCTTTTAAAATTAAAAGAAAGAAAACAAAGGTGTGAGTGACATCTGCAAGATGGGTGGTGGTATACATTGACTCAATCAATCAATCAATCAATCAATCAATAAACTATGGCTCTTCAAAAATAATATCAGTGTGCTATTTATGGACTATTGGGTTCATGTGAAAGAGAAAAGCATGGTGATGTGCCTAAAATAAATTTGATAAAAGAACCAGGGTGGGTTCAAAGTTCATTTCCATCTGTATTTTTTTTGCTAGGTTTTTAATCTGTGCGGCCATCTTGTATTTTTCTTTTTGTGAGTAGAAATGAGATTGATATCTTTCCCATAGACCTGTTAGAAAAATGGAAAAAAATTAGGACATGCTAAATTCTGAAACTATGTTGTTACCTATTCTAGGAAAGTCCATCTCAGTCCTATTGAACTGAAGGGATTCCTTTGTGGTTATGCTGGTCGTTGGAAAGGACTGGCCAGAAATGATATGAATTTTGGGTAGAGCTCCTGAACTGGTGCCTTCAGAAGTATTGTACTGCAGTCTTCATTATTATCAGTCAGTTTATCTAATATTTTGCTAACTCTAACCACAATGGGAGTTTTATTCNTTCCATACCATCTGGAGGCTGACATGTTAAAGAATGCTGTTGTAAGATAGTGGATCTTCTTTTAGCCCATGAAGGCATCAATAAATCTATCACCCTTGTTAATTAATATATAAAACAGAACTGCAAGAAAAAATGGAATGTAATCATACTTCTAAATGGAATATCTCAGTTTTGAGTCGCCATCACATAATTCCCTTCTGTAAAGACATTCCATCATGGCCACATGTTTCCTTTTTTCCCCAATATTTTTTCTGAAATCCGAGTTATGAGGATGCTAAGCTCTCAGCCAGATTTTTTGTTTGTTTTCCTTGATATTTTGGCTCTCTAATTTAATTTGCATTTCTACACTCCTAAGACATCTCTCTGTATACTTGACTACAATACAGTGACACTCCCCATTCCTATTCAGTACTGGAAAGGATTATTAGAATTTACAAAGCTTAAATTGTGGCAGCAACAATAATTTCTATTTAAGATAAAAAAAAACTCTTCTGTCCTTTTTCTTTAGTATGCTCTGTCAGATAAACCTGTCACTGAATCTCTCATCTTGGAAAAGACTGCAATCCAAAAATATCCAGTTACTGAATTCCAGCCCATTTACTACGTAGCTGAAAGTTTTGAAGATGCAAAACAAAAGTTAAGGTAGGATCTGCTTAGATTATTGCAAGTGGTTTCATGGGTATCAGTACCATAGGTTTACTGCCAGCTACTGTAGCAATCTTTAATTTGAAAGAGGTGTTATAAAGTTATTAATAAAAGGTCACCTGTGATATAAATGATAACCCAGAGAAGTTGGACCAAGGGATACACAAGAGAAGACTGAGAAATTGAGACTGCAGGAAATACATGAAAGAGCAAAAAAAAAAAAAACAGTCTCTATTTTGTCCCCTTATCAAAGGAAAGGCATAGCTCGCACTCCACCTCTAAGACATGCATAATAGTTTTTATTTATTGCACAAGATCTCAGTTTTATTGCTCATCTTTACATTTCAAACAAATCATAAAATTTACAGTTCCCAGCTGTAAAGAATGACATTTCACCAAAAACATATGGCTACCTTTAAATGTTTGCTCTGCATTTTACAGAAAATATGCCTCAATGATTTCGCGGCCATTTTCAGTCCGCTACAATCCATATACTGAAAGAATTGAAGTTTTGGACAATATCAAGCAATTAAAGAATTTATCAGATGCCATTGGCAGTAAGTATTTAAATTCAGAACTTTGGATGGCTTTATTCGGATGACAAGAATCTTTTATATGTGTGCTTTGCTTTTCATTTTATTCAACTAATAATTCCTTATGTACAAAGAAATGGATGTTTGATTTCCAGTGCATTTTTAAATTTCAAAGCACTATATGAGATAGATGGAATCAAGTATCATGATTTTCACATTCATAATAAATTGAAAACAGATTTTTTTAAAATTCCAATTCTAGTAGCATATTTAAAATAAACCATTTTGTGATTAGATTGTGGTGACAGTTGTATTCATTCTCTCCTGGAATTCAGAGGAGTTTCATAAGGAATGTAATTTTGTTTATGCACCATATGCATTTCTGCTGTTTATCAGCCTCAACAACGTCTTTTTAATAGTTTCCTATTAAAGATCTGAAGAACTGAAAAAGTGTTTATTAATGGTTGTGCACAAAAAGATTATTGTGTGAGTGGGAGCTTCTATGTTGTATGGAATCTATAGACAATAAATTTACAGTTGTAGCACAGTTGATCACCTCATTGGGGTTTTTTTTTCATAAGTCATGCAATATGTTTCCTTCAAACACATATATTGTCAGCATATATGTGAGTTGCCTTGCATTCTGCCTATGGCAATAAGTTTGTATTATTTGTTTTCTTTTGCTTGCCCAGTAATCTCTGCATCATTATCTCTACTGACAGGGTAAACTAGGAATAACTCCATATGCACTGCCTTGTACTCCACGAAGAAAATTCAAATGTAATACATATAGAACAAAGTAAAACTTTTATTTTCTTGATGTCTTTGCAGATGAAATGGAACTTCTTTGCAATGCTCTGCAGAAGATAAAGTGAAAGAGATACTTCCCAGCTCATTTTCCTTCTTTTCTTTCTTTTAACAAAGTCAATTTCCCCATAATTAACATATAATGCAGAAAAGTAACAAAATCTAATATATAATATGTTTATATATATCTGTAGACAAATCCCTCTCCAGATTTTGGTATGATCATATAAGTCTCTACAAAATTAATATAAATAACTCTTTAAGTAGGCCTTTCAAATATGATTTCTATATGCCAAGTGTTTATATTGTTACAGTAAGGCCTGGTATAAACTAATGCACCTTATATAATTGAAAAGGCAAAATAGGAAAATAGTAGAAAAGATAAGCATACTCAATTCATCTTTTATATAAGAGCTTACATTTTTGAAGTACATTTAATCAAGTGCTTTTATTCTTTCCAATCCAATATCACATTGTGAAGCTTATCAAGACTCTGTTAACAGGGTAACTCTCTGAAAATGTTATGGAAGGTGATAAAAATTTGTGTAGGAGAAGAAATGACATAAGAAAGAGTGAAATTGAAAATGATTGCATATGGTCAAGGTTTCAGAAAACATCCCTCCAGACATTTTTTTTTAAAAAAAATCCAATACATCTCTGGAAAGAATTCAAGAAGCTACACTTGAACCATGAAAGTCTTTATTAATTTTACTTTTACTTTCTCACACTGCTAATTATCTATGGATTAGATATTAAGATTATGTTGATGTTAGGTATCATATATTATTGTATAATAATGTCCAATAGGTTAAAGATAAATATTTTAAATTGATCAACTGGGATTGTTGTAAAGTTCCATAGGTAACCTATGGGGAAAGAGATAATTGTGACATGCAAAAGTCCAGCATGCTGTGCAAATGTTTTTTCTTCACTATTCATGTCCTACCTACAACTCTGTCCAAGTTTACACATTCTATTGATGTATTTTTGCTGGTAGAACCATTACAGTGGCAGAATATTTCTGTGCTGCATATGTTGGCAAATTTATCATTTACAGGGAAAAATCCAATTTTTACTGCTATCTTTAAATGTATATGGATTATTTACATTTATCTTCTGAAAAAGAGTATATATTGATACCATTATTCAAATGATTCAAATACTAGCTAATGTAAAGCTAAACATTTTAAACAAATATACTTACATTTAAGTTCTTCTTTGCTGGCTAATTTGTAGAAAATATTACCAAAATGTCAATCATATTTTTCTTAAACCAATATTTAAAATGTATAATTATTTCAAATAAATACATTTGCTATTTTTGTGCATGGAACCTAATGGTTTTCATAATAGTTATTCTCTAAAATTAATGTATTAATTACAATGGACTTATATTTATATTTTCAAACAAAACAATATTTTAACACAATATTTTCCTTCTAAAACACTTTTAGAAATAACATTTCTCTTTCCCATAAAATAGTTAATATATGCCAACTTTTAAAAAAATCATGGCACATTAATATATACATATTATATATTACAGTTTACATTATATTGCATTCAAATTTAAATTAAATTGCATTCAAATCAAGGGTTTAATAACCAAAGAAAAATAATGAGCAGCCATCCTCAAAAGCAGACTTCTGTACTATCTTGCAGAAATTGTGCTTCGTAATGATATACAGAGACACACAAGCACATTTATCGCCTCTTAAATGAAAACTAATTGGAGAAACAAATCAAAGAGAACTATATCAATTTAATCCACTGGTGTGGATTCCTCTGTCAACGAGCATTTCTTCAGCACCGAGGACAGCACCGCGGTACCGCTACGAAATTTGCGATTGCCCATATAGGGGTGAAGGATGAAATGGTGTCCAACCGCTTTGAATTGGTATTGAAGTGTTTCAGTCTCGAGCAACGGGATCTTAAATTATTGTAAGGGGGCTCTTCAGTGCCTTAAACACATGTTTGGAGTCTGGGTTGTGGGTTCATAGGTTTTGCAAAAATCGTGCAAGTGTTGTTCGCATTTAAGAGTTTATTCCTTGAAAGGTTTCAAGCAAGATTCTATTCGTGCAATGTGGCAATTCTACATTTGCCAAGACAATATCAAGGACCTGGGCATATTTCACCCAGTTTGTCCCTTTCCATGTAAAGAAAAGACGAAGGCTTTTTTAAAACGGCAGGGACTGAGAGTAGTTTAGAGGAGGATCAAATTTATTAGGGAGTCTATTAATTCAACAGATTTTAAGGTACCCTTAATAATACAACTGGTACATGTCTTTGACAGAAAATCAAAAACGTCTGATTTCTTTTTTAATTTGACAGAACGTGCTTGATACTAAATTCAAATTATTTTACGCTGCAAATCTTTCTCAGAGCCTTTTGAGCGAGGTTGCTTCCCCCCCCCCATGCCACCATCTGCCTTGGGGTAAATTCCACTGAATTCCGTGGAATTCCTGCCAAGTAAACTGAAGAACCAAACTTAAATGTCACGTTTATCCATAAACCCCGACAAAGAAGCACAACTGCCGAGTTCCTACTATCTGCTTGTTCAAATAAAATATATGATGCTCTGAATCACATAATATCAAATAACAATAGCTAGGTTTCCCTACAACGTCGGAACTACATACAGTCCAATTCCAGGCAAGCCCAGCGTGCGGTGCGAATGCGACTGAATGAATGGGCTTCTTATACTGCAGATCAATTTAGCTGACAGCCAACAGCATCCCTCTTGTACCGGAGCAGAAGTGACAAAAAGGAGTAATATTCACACAGCTAGAGTAAAGCCTTTTAAATGTTCTGAGCCTAAGCGGTCTGAAGACTGCTATCGAATATTCTGTCTAGCCTTTTTTTGGGGGGGGGGGAGCGGAGTCATTTCTAAGCGTCTCTGAACACACCTGGTTCTCAAAGCAGCTGGCAGTCAGTTAAAAAATGGGCAGACTTGATACATAAGCCGAAAAACAACCCCGGCATTACACCACAATGCAAGAACCGCAAAAGTCATTGTCGAACCAGTTTGAGGGCGAGAGTTACTCTGTTTCCGAGGGTCGATCACTGACAGTGGGATAGATCACGTGCCAAACACTCCCTCAGCCTGGTACCTTCCGGATGTGCTGGAGTCCTCTCCCATCATCCCCAGACGGCCTCACATTGGCGCTGGAGGCACTAAATTGAAGGAAGGAGGAAGCATTGCGGGAACCACCTGTCCCATACTTGAGAATCCGGTCCCCAGTCCTCCCCGGCCGAAGGAGGTACGCAATCCCATCCTAGAAGGCGCGTATGGGCAGCTGAGTAGATCGACCCTGTCGGGGAAACCGCCGTCTCCTTCGCGAGAGATCTTGCAGGACCGGATCGGTCGCGAGCTCTTCGGATCTCTAGAGATGGAGCCGTCAGAGACGCAGAGATCCCCGGATCTGACTCGGAAAAGAGACGAGCGGAGCGCTCTGCTGACCCTCACCTTCGCCCTGAGCAGCAAGAAGAAAACCTGCATCTCCAAGACAGTTCGAGTTTTCGAGGTACATCTGCTGAAAGTTCTGTCTTATGCCAACAGGTTCACACGTTGTGTCTTCTAAAGAGAAAAGACCATTAAAGCTTGGGCTTCGGTGCTTCCCAGTTTGAAAGGAGAGGAGGAAAATGAAAGGAGGAAACGTCTCCAATCTAAGAGCCTGATGAATGGAAAGGATCGTGGAAGGAATCAGGCTGTAGAAAGCTGACACTGAAAGCACCTCCTGGCATAGTTTACCTCAATTTCATAGTTCAGGATAGGCTGGATCTCTTGCTGTATGGAATTATAGCAATAGATACCCAGCCCGTTTAGAAGGCAAATGATAAACTGCGTTAATATATTTCACACATATATTTGGATTTATTTTTTTTTGCAAGGAAACTCAACCGTTCTCTTTTGATGTTTCATGCACGTTCATTCAGTACTGTTTGTGCTCCTTAGTACATTAAATTCCCATCCTGGATTTCTTCCAAGGAGTTCAAAGTAGCATAGATACCGTTTCTTCCTTCCTCATCATGTTATCCTAATGAACATTCTGTGGGAAGATTTTAACAGAGAAATTAACTAGTCCAAGATTTTTTGGGGAGCTAGATGGGAATTTAAATCTAGTACTACTAGTTCCTTTAATTGTAACATCATACCTCCTACAGCATCTCTCTGAACTCATGGCTGTTTTTGTACCCTTTCTCTTGAGATATCTGCCAGATTTAAACCCATCTTTATCTTTTGCCCTATAGCAGCACTCTTCAACTTAAAGGAGAAGTAGAGAACAAAAATACATAATTCTGTTCTCAGGAGTAACAACATTTTTTCTGAGCTGTTGCACATCTACAGGCAAAATACATAACTGCCTTTAGATTTGGTTCACACTTTGCACACTCGGAAGCATCTTTGGGAATTCGAAGCATAATTCAGATCTATTGGAGAGTTTTGTGGTTGTATCTTCTACTCTGCGTGAAAATAAACAAGAAATATTATGAATTGTTTATTATTAAAGGGAAATATTCTTAGAAGAAAAAACAGGTTTGCACTTCGTTTACTTTAACAAACTAAAATGGTTAAAAAAAAATGTCTTCCTGTGTTGGGCTTTTATAGATGTTTGAAGCCAAAATCCATCATTTTGAAAGCAGAGCAGCTAGAACATCAAAGAACGCTGATGACAACCTTGAATTTTTTGTAAGATGTGAAGTTCAGGACTGTGAGGTTAGCAGTCTTTTAAATTCCTTGAAGAGAGTGGCAGAGGATGTGGAAGCTATCAGAGAAAAAAAAGGTATGTCATAAAAGGCTTTTACCTTCTTTCTTCCTAATATACTGTACCTCTTCAGTATACACCAGGGATTCCTAACTATAATTAAACCGACATGCTAAGATTTTAAAGGCCATTAGCCAGAATTTTAAAGATAATATGTGATTCAAGAGCCACATTTTGTCTGTACAATAGTTTCTCTGCATGGATTTAGATTCTATTTATTATTGTAGCAAAATGTCATGTTGATAAGCAGAGGTCTTTCAATTGATAATGAAGGAACATTGGTGTTATATTCATGAACTCCT